CCATTCTCCATCTCTCTCTCTCTCTCACCTTCGATTCTCTCTCTTACCTTTCTCTCTCTCTCTCTCTCTCTCTCTCTCTCACCGTCCATTCTCTCAAACTCTCTCTCTGCTGAAAGTCCTGCCCCGCCCATTAACTGCTCACTGCCCTCACTTCCCCCGCTAAGCTAGTCCTCATGCCTCGTTGAGAGCAACCACTGGGAACTTGTCCTAGCTAGGAATGTTGGGAGCTCTTGTTTCTCTAAGACTATCCTCGAGCAAAAATGCATCTACTTAATATTACTGAATGCTAGGCACGAATTCTTTCAGAAAACATCGAGCAGTTTCCTCCACTAAAGTAAGCCACCCTTTACCGGACATAAGCAGACCTTGAGAGTTTGATGGAATTAGTTGATGTCTCTTCTCTGACAACACAAACAGTTGACCGTCCACCCCCTCCCCCACCCCCCTGACAACACAAACAGTTGACCGTCCACCCCCTCCTCCCCACCCCCAATTGACAAAACAACAACCTGTCGTGACATCACCATTCTACACAACGATACCATCCAACACAAAGATACCATTCTTTCTAAAAAAAATAAATAAAAAAAAGATACCATTCCACATGCGATACCATCCTACATCCATCACAACATGACGCCCGACTCTACAAAATGCATACTCTACGATACCACCCTACAACACGAGATTTTATCTCCCCCTTCTCTCCTCTCTCTCTCTCTCCCTCTTTCTCTCCTCAGCCTGCCTGTCTATCCACTCTCCTGGTCTGTCTATCTGCTCTCTCTCTCCCTCTCTCTCCGTCTATCTGTTAGCTCAGTGCAATAAAAGGCTTCTACTGTTCCGCCTTCCCGGTTGGACACCGGGTTTGTTCATAAACTATACTCAGTGTGGGCTCCTATCTACTCCAGACAATATCTAACCTCCCTTGGTGCGGCACTCGGTGCGCACCACACCCTGTCATGACATTGTGATAGCTAGGAGCGACTGAGGCGAAAGTTGTCTGCACAATTCATTGTCAGACGACAAAACTTTCCCCTATCGGTCGGCAACATTCCGCACCCCTCACACCCACACGTCATTACAACCACTCTCACTAGATTCTTTCTTCCGTGTAATCAATATATAATCAGTATATAACCGTGTTTCTTCCTGTATCTCTTCATATAATCAGAGTGCTCGTTCATTCTCTCATTCATTCATGTAAATGCTCCTTCCATTCTTCATTCTTCTTGTACATTGGATGATATCTTCTCCTCCTGCCTTCTCTTTCTCTCTCACCACTGTACAACATCTCTGTGAACTGTGAGGATCTCAAGGCTCGGACAAAAAGCGAAGGGAAAAACTTCATTGAAGAAAAAAAAAACAGCCAAAAAAACAAACAACCCTTCCCACGGACGGACTGACTTGTGAGGTCAGCGACAAGGGGCGTGGTCTACCACTACAATAGATCTCTACATTTTTTACTCCTATCGTTTAGTTTATTGCCTGCATGTACAGAAACAGTAACAAACACACATATACAACAAAGAAAATAGGTCATCTATAAACTATACAAGGGGCGAAGATAAACGTACGTTTACGGTATAGCACCCTTCCTTTCTTAATTAACAGACATAGGTCATGATTCTTCTCTCTATCCGAGCGCCATGTTACCATTCTCTCTATCCGAGCTCCACCTACTTGCCAGTGGTACGATTCTTGTTTACACATTTAAAAAAGTAACTGTATGAGTGGAAAGCGAAGTACCACGCGATCGGAATGTGTGGTCAGCCGGTTAAAAATTGACACCCGTGCATTCGAATGCTTCGCGGAAATATTGATGATTAACTAGATCTACCGTCTTTTCATTGTGGGAGAACTATAGAGCTTTGACATTAGTGGAGAACTATAGAGCTTTGACATTGGTGGAGAACTATAGAGCTTTGACATTGGTGGACAACTATAGAGCTTTGACAACCGGCTTTCCCGGGGTATATTTTTGGCCTTTGGTGTTTATGTAGACAGCCTTTAAAAATATTGTCAAAGTTTTCAAAGATAATTTTTAACACGAAATATGTAAAAATAAAGGTTTAAAAAAAGGTACCAATAGAAAAATCAGTTCATTTTCTATTAGAATAAAGTAATCGGCTGGGAATTATTTTGCATCAATCCTTCCACGAAACTCGAAAAGCATGCCCCCCCCCCCCCCCCCGAGAGTACCCAGTATACTACGAGCTACACAGTACAGTATAGAGCCGACTCACTCACTCGCCGCGGGGGCCCGTGCGGCGCCGGTCGGAACAGCGCTCTGTGTCTTTGTCGAAATAACGACAGATCATCGTGTTTGAGGCGATAAAATGCTGAACTGCAATGATCTCAGTCTTGAAAAAAAAAATTAGGCACCATAGCTGTATATCAATGTTGTAGCAGTGATTGTACTCTGTTAATGTGGAGATGTTTGGTACTCTTTTATTATCGTCAAACATGGGGTTGTGCCACTTAGTGACTTTATGTTTTTGTTCTGTTTTTGGAAGTGTTTTACGGCGCTCGCAACTGCATAAGATCATATGAGCGCGTGGGACACATTAAACATTTTCAGTTGGTAGGAAACTTTGAATTTTGCCCGGGTGGCGGCCGAAGCCTACTCTTATCGATTTCAGACCACCAAGGGATCTTTAACGTGTGCAGCTTGCACACGGGCCCTACGAGATTTTTCGCCCTTGTCCGAGAAAGCTAGGTATAGATCTTTCCTACCAGAAGATCAGGGGTGCGGCAGAAAGACAGCAGTAAGAAGAAGCCAAGGAGAAACAGTAGAAAGGCTGTAGAAAGAATCAGAAGCCCAGAGGAGGGGGCAAAGGAGATGAGGGAGTGGGGTCAGAAAGAGGAGATGAAAGCAGACGACAGAACATTGCTAGAGAGCAGGGAAGGAGGTGAAAGGAGACACATTTTTCGGTCACTACCCAGATTCAAACCTGGGACCTTTGAATGAGAGGCCAACACCTTAACCTCTAGGCCACGAGAGCCCCCTTAGCGACTTTAGCAATATTATTTCATATTTAAAACAGTTGCCATTTTCTTTAAAATTGACTCAGAGGTTTAGGAGACATAGGCCTTACATATGGAAAAGAGAAATTTGGCATAGATCTACAGCAATTTGAAAATGTAGTCTCTGGTACTTAAGTCAAGGTCTTCCTGGACCTCAGTTGATCTCTCCATGAGCATCTTTTGGGCGAAGATGGCATTTCGGGTTCCTTTCGTCACAACATTCCCAAACTGCGCACCAGTGAACGCCCCGCCCCTCTCAATACTCTTATAATATAATAAGTTTTTAAAGTTTAGTTTTAGTAAGAGTTTTACGGCATTTGCAACACAATAAGGTCATTATATAAGTGCCGAAGATTTGAGGTGTTACAAGAGAGAGAGAGTAACAAACACAAAAAAGAAGGAGAGATAAGGATAATAGTTGTTTGATAGGAAAGAAGAAGAAACAAACCACACCAGAGCACCCGCCAACTACCCACAAGGTTTTTTAAGAGGAGGAACCTCTGAATTTACACCTGTTTGCAATAGGACTGGGCTAAATGGGTTAAAAGCCTTGTTTTAGTTTTATTTGTTTTAGTAGAGGTTTTACGGCACTCGCAACTGCATAAGGTCATATGAGCGCCAGAAGATTTGAGGTGTTACAAGAGAGTAACAAACATAAAAAGAAGAAGGGGAGATAAGGACGATAGATGTTTGAAAGGAAAGAAGAAGAAGCAAACCACACCAGAGCACCCGCCAACTACCCACAAGGTTATTTAAGAGGTGAGACCCCTGAATTTAACACCTGTCTACAATAGAGCCGGGCTAATGGGTTGAGGGCCTTGGACACAGCACAAAATGACCAAAGTTCAAGAACGCCCCCAGGGCTATCCACTTCACAGTCAGGCATGATACCAACTGGGCTAACAGAGCACCCAATTCTTGTACTTGTTCAGTATTCCATGCATCCATACCACCTAAACGTGAGGCATGCTGACAAAATAAGTTACTTCTCGCAATCCAAGAAGGGAAATATCGGCTGAAAATCGACACTGGAATCAGATTTAAAGGTTTTCAGTTGATGCCATTTTGTTCAAGTCTACCGTGTCTTATAATTCCATACTTACAAATTGTACAAACTCCACCTATAAAGTTGATGTATTAATTTCCAAAAGGTCTAAAATCCCAGAAGTAACTCATTTCGTTAGCACACCTCACACATAGCAGAGTAGGGAGAGGCTCAAAATGAAGCACTTAAGTCCAGTACAGTCAAAGTAGATGTTTTGTTAAGCCAATCAGCACTCAAAACAGACAAGTCCATTTCTTTTAGTTTTAGTAAGTGTTTTACGGCACTCGCAACACAATAAGGTCATACAAGTGCTGAAGATTAGAGGTGTTACAAGAGAGTAACAAACACAAAAAAGGAGGGGAGATAGAGACTATAGATTTCTTCTAGGAAAGAAGGAGCAAACCACACCAGAGCACCCACCAACCACCCACAGCACACTTGAACACACACACACAAATGACATTACAACTCACCGGCACACACACACACCAATAACGTCACAGCACACCTGCACACACACACATACACACCAATGATGTCACAGCACATCTGCACATACACTTGCAACACACACACACACCTGCACACACACATAACTCACCTGTACACACACACACACCTGCACACACACACCTGCTCACACACACCTGAACACACACCTGAACACACACACACACACACACACACACACACACACACCTGCACACACACATAACTCACCTGTACACACCAGGTTCCCATCCCTCTCCTCTGCTGTCCCCTCAAACCTGCACACACACACCTGCTCACACACACACCTGCTCACACACACACACACCTGCTCACACACACACCTGCTCACACACACACACACACCTGCACACACACACACCTGCACACCTGAACACACACACACACACACAACTCACCTGTACACACACACACAACTCACCTGTACACACTAGGTTCCCGTCCCTCTCCTCCGCAGTCCCCTCACACCTGCTCAGACAGACCCCGGCCGACTGGGAGATGAACGACACACACCTGTGCCCCAGAGAGAAAACACACACATTGGCCATCTTTTTAAAAAATGTATCTGTTTTTATGCCTCCCCCACCCAAAAATTATCGATGCAATTTAACCCTATCCGTACGTTGTGTTTTAATATTGTTTCAATACGAAGTGGGGAACTCAGTGCCACCACTTTCCAAACAGGAAATTTACTCGTTAATCCGATCCGTACGCTTCGCATAGATAGCAGTCTGTCAAAATAATTTTTTGAGAAATACTGAAAGTTTCAAAGAGATCTTCGTACTAGAAGTATTCTAAAATGTGAAGAATACAACCCCGGGGGTACAAAATGAGCCGAGGGCGTACGGATAGGGTTAAATCATTTAGGAGGCAGGCTTCCAGAGCTGCCTGTCAGGGCCAACCTGGGTAGAGAGGGACTCAACATCTCAGCAGAAAGACCACGATATTTGCCATAAACTTCGCCCTACTCAGGGATCAAACTCACATCTCCCACGTTCGACATCAAAGAAGGGCCTAACCGCTGAACCGCAGACAAGCGTACTTTTAGTTTTAGTAAGGGTTTTGCGGCACTTGCAACACAATAAGGTCATATAAGTGCCGAAGATTAGATGTGCTACAAGAGAGTTACAAACACAAAAAAGAAAGAGGAGAGATCAAGACGATAGATGTTTGATGGGAAAGAAGGAGCAAACCACACCAGAGCACCCGCCAACCACACACAAAGCAACAACAACAACAAAAACAACAACATCAAGAACAACAACAACAACAAAAATGACAACAACAATCATTCACTCACTTGAGGCACACGTTGGGCGTGTCACACTGTAGACAACAACAACAGCAACAACAACAACTACAACAACAACAACAACAACCATTCACTCACTTGAGGCACAGGTCAGGCGTGTCACACTGTAGACAACAACAACAACAACAACAAGCACTCACTTGAGGCACAGGTCGGGCGTGTCACACTGTAGACAACAACAACAACAACAACAATCATTCACTCACTTGAGGCACACGTCGGGCGTGTCACACTGTAGACAACAACAACAACAACAACAAGCACTCACTTGAGGCACAGATCAGGCGTGTCACACTGTACACAAGAACAACAGCA